ATGTATAGTTTACAAATGACAAAATGTTCACATAAAATCATGACAGCATTTAAATAATATCACCCACTACTAGCATTCTGTAATTTACGGTCTCTTTTGAATACTTACCACTACATGTACAGCACTTTTAAGAGTATTTAACAAGAGCATTTTCCCTGGTTTTACTACCACACTGGGGCACATGTTCACCAAAACGCAGCAAACCTTCACCATCTTATCCAGAAGGGTCACCTCTTCACCCTCACATGTTAGAAGTAATCTGATTGGCATGGTGGTATGTGGCATGTAGTTTGAAGCAAGGATTTCGTAGTGGCCCATGTGTAGCGTTGGAACCCAGCCAGGATTTGTTTCATCCATTTCATAGGCTGGTTTGCCTCAATAATGAAAAACAATTAGCAACTCTATGAATAGAAGGTAAATCTACAAAGTCACTCATTAGGATGTTTGTTCTAATTTGCTATGACCTCAGAGCGCACTGAAAATAAAACTAACAGGGTAAAAAGAGTGATATGAACTTATTTAGAACTTACCTGAATGAAAATGTCTGGAACACACCAACCGATATCTGTGGATGGTAGAGAACTGGATATCAGCTCGTCTCACAGCTGTTATCGAGGCTAGATGCCTTCTTCTGGTAACATCTGATACATAAGCTCCCTCACGTTGCTTCCAGGTGGGGAAAGAATAAAAAGAGAGCCCATTTTCCAGCTTATTCCCTTCCCGATTGCGCGATCTAACAACCGACAACACAGCAAGTGCATACCATTGCTGATGCTTTCGTTCCTTTAGCCCTTTGTTTGGCCTGCTAAAATGGCACCTCGGCGGCCACGCCCCCTCCCGTGACATCACGCTCCAAAGCCCTATAGTGGTGAGAGGACACATCCTTGAGGGGCACCAATACTGAGGGACCGAGTTTCAGAGGTGATCTCCCCCAGCCTCACTTGCTGCTTCCTGTCTGTCTGAAAGCTGGTGATCCACTGACAGGTAGCTGGTGACATGCTGACCTGGGAGAGTTTGGAGGAGAGAAGTTCAGGCACGATGGTGTAAAAAAGCCAAACTAAAGTCCATAAACAGGACCCTGGCATAACTTCCCAGGCGGTCGAGGTGTTGCAGGATGTAATGCAGCCCCATGTTCACTGCATCATCCACCGACCTGTTTGCCCGGTAGGCAAACTGCAGTGGGTCCAACTGGTGGCCTATAATGTCCTTCAGATGGGCTAACACCAGTCGTTCGAAGGATTTCATGCCCACAGACATCAAGGCGACAGGTCTGTAATCATTCAGTCCTGTAATGGTGGGTTTCTTGGGGACCGGGATGATGGTGGAGCGTTTGAAGCAGGAGGGAACTTCGCACAGCTCCAGGTATCTGTTGAAGATGCGAGTAAAGATGGGAGCCAGCTGTTCAGCACAGGTTTTGAGGTAGGAGGGTGAAACACCATCAGGGTGCCCATGTGTAACAAATCATCTGTTGGGGTTCATGGATTTAACACCTTAGCGTTGTGAAAGCGGGGATACATCCCCCTGGCTGAGCACAAGATTACTGCTCTGATTCATTTAACTCAGCCAAAGCGACTGTGTGTGAGACCAGTCTTTGGTTTTTTAACAATTCTGTTTTTTTTTTAAACAGAATTCAAAGCAGAAGCCAGGTAAAATAACTACTGTGATCAATCTGTCTCTATACAAACATTTGTGCTTTGACTGCTTTGCAGAGATGGGCAGTAACGCGTAACACAAAAACATTAGTGTCCGTTGTGTGTAGGAAGAAAACTTCTTTTTACAGCGGAAAAAACCCTAAACTTCCAAACAAGCACCGAGTAGCTACGACGTAATGGGAAACTCACAGAGACACTCGCGGATTCTTCCACTGACCACACACCTGCACCAGGGTAA